CAGGTAACAGGAACAACGCTGAAGACAGAGTGGCCTGCGGTAGACGTGCTGGCTGTTATCACTAGTATCATTATTTTACTCTCGTTCCTGCTGCTGCCCTCTGTGCCGCTCTGGTGAGTATGTTTTCAGTGCCTCGGGACTTTCTGTTCCCCATTAGGAAGGTGGGGTTCATGGTTTCTTTGCCTTCAGCCACACAGTTTGTTCTACACAAAATAGAGGGCGGCAGTTCAACCACTGAGTCACACCGGCTGGGATACCACAGCTTTTTAATCCACTCATCTACTGATGGGCACTTGGGCTCCTGACAAATCTTGGCTATTGTAAATAATGCTGCAATGAACATAAGGGTGCATATATTCTTTTGAAATAATGTTTCGGGTTTCTTTGGAACTTCTATTGTCAGAAGTGGAATTTCTGGGTCCTAAGGCAGTTCCATTTTTAGTTATTTGAGGAAACTCCATACTGTTTTCCACAATGGCTGTACCGTCTGCATTCCCACCAGCAGTGCATGGGTGTTCCCTTTTCTCCATCCTCACCAACACTGATGGTTGATTTGTTGATGACAGCCATTCTGACAGGTGTGAGGTGATACCTCATTATGGTTTTAGTTTGCATCTCTCTGATGGTTAGAGACATTGAGCATCTTTTCATATGTCTGTTGGGCATCTGTATGTTCTCTTTGGAGAAATGTCTATTCAGGTCCTTTGCCCATTTTTTTAATTGGATTGTTTGGGGTTTTTTTGTGTTGAGTTGTATGAGATTAAGCCCTTATCAGATGTTTCATCTGCAAATATGTTCTCCTGGGCAGTGGGTTATCTTTTCGTTTTGTTGATGTTTCCTTTGCTGTGTCAGCTGTTGAGCTTGATGCAGTCCCGTTTGTTTTCTTCTTTGTCTCCCTGCCCGAGGAGACATATCAGAAAAAATATTGCTACAAGAAGTGTCCGTGTTTCCTTCTGGGATTTTTGTGGTTTCCAGTCTTACATTGAGGTCTTTAACCCATGTTGAGTTTATCCTGTGTATTTCCTGCCTCTCAGCCGGCAGGCCTCACCCTCAACAGCACCGCCCCCCAGGCGGAGTCTCCTCCCTCCTAGGTTCACCCACACCCGCTCCCCGAAGCACTGGTCACTCTGTGTCCCTGCCCCCGCTTTTGTCTCCTCTCTCTGCTGGACTCTGCCCCTGCAGGCAGGGCTGCATCCTCTGCCGTGGGCACGCTGCGTGCACAGGGCCTGCACGAGCAGCCGCACTGAGTGAGCGGCTGTGCATCAGCATAATTAGCACGAGTGCCCCTCAGGCGGTGTGTAAACCTGTCAGCCCTGGGGCACTTCTCATTCATGCCACAGCCCCAAGCAGTCCGGGTGCCTTTGGCCACCCTCCTTACCAGTGGTTCTGCCTTCTCCACGTGTGGCCTCCACACCCTGTTGCTGGGGAGGGAAGGGGGTTTCCCCAGCATGTTCCTTGTTGTGGCTGCACCCGGACGTGGCTGCCTCACCCCCACTCACGTCGCCCTGCCCACGCCTGGTTTGTGGCTCCCCTCCCACTGCAGATGCTGGGAAATCTTGTCTTCCTTTGTGCCCCGTCTCATCAGAACTGGGCATGGGAGGGACTCTCAGAGCCAGAGGGCCTTCATGCCAGGTCCCGAGGCCTTATCAGTGTTCCGGATGCTCTCTAGCCAGTGACATGCTTTCAATCCGCTGACTCCGAAGCTGCCGTCTCTCCTCGGGGCCAAGCTGCTTGCTGCTCCCAAAGGAGGGGCCTTCTACTTATCTTAGGGAAAACCATGTTTTTCTGAGATGGAAGTAGGAAGTCTGGGGACGCGGTCCCTGTGCCCACCTGCAGCTCGCATGAAGGGTGGCTCCTGGGGAGGCCTCTTGGAGAGGGGCACATGGTTGAAAAGATGCCCTGGGCTGGACACAAAAGTTGTAATAATGCAGGGGTTGGGGCCTGAGCACTTGTCCTGGAAACCATAGCTTGTCATCTTCTTCACAACATTCTGCTGTTTCAAAAATAGTTACTCTTAACATGATGGTGTCTTCATCTTCTTGAAGCTCAAAATAAAATTAATCTTTTTGGAGGGAAAAAAATACTTCCATTAAAATAGTCCTGAGTGTTCTTTTGAAAGTGAAGACTCACTCCCATGCTCTCTGTTACTACCTGTAAACCGAACGGACAGAAATATTGTGGTGGGGATGCCTCACAGAACGGCGGCAGGCCACGGTAGCGAGGACCCCTAAGCGGTCACAGAGGGTCTGGCAGGCTCCCCGAGCCGGGCTTCCCTCAGTCCCATCGCTTCTTGTGCCGTTTCAGCTGCAGCCCAGGAGCCCAAGCAAACATCTCACAAACACCCAGTGGGACAGGCCCCCGCTGGATGCTGCTCTCCTCCGGAGCCCCGTGTGATAAATGGGGTCTCGGAGGGACCAGGTCCCTGTCTTTGCTCACTTATTCCTGGTCTTCTGCCCTTTGCTCCCTGCCCAGAGGGTTTGGGACCAGGGAGCTGGTCCACAGGCCAGCCTTCTCTCCCTCCCACTCCCTGGGGGGTGTCTTTGCCATCTCTTGTCTGGACTTGGCGACAGCCTCCAAGCCATTCTCCTGGTGGCTGCCTCGCTTCCCCTAAATCAGTGGTTCTCAACCTTCTGGCCCTTTAAATACAGTTCCTCCTGTTGTGACCCCCAACCATAAAATTATTTTCGTTGCTTCTTCATAACTGTAATGTTGCTACTGTTACGAATCATAATGTACATATCTGATATGCAGGATGGTCTTAGGCGACCCCTGTGAAAGGGTCGTTCAACCCCCAAAGGGGTCGTGATCCACAGGTTGAGAACCGCTGCCCTAAATCTACCCCCACATTTATTAGTTCTTGCAACAAATATTTGCGGGGGCTCATGAGCGCTGAGCACTGTGCTACCTTTTAGCCCTTTAAATACAATTCCTCATGTTGTGACCCAACCATTAAATTATTTTCGTTGCTACTTCATAACTGTAATGTTGCTACTGTTATGAATCGTCATGTAAATATCTGATATGCAGGATGGTCTTAGGGGACCCACAGGTTGAGAACCGCTGCCTTAAATCTACCCCCACATTTATCAGTTCTTGCAACAAATATTTGCGGGGGCTCGTGAGCGCTGAGCACTGTGCTCGGCTCTGCAGTGTAGGGTGAACAAGACAGCTGAAGTCCCCCCTTCCTGGGACTGTCCGTCGAGTAGAGGAGGCACATGATGAACCATGAGCTCATTCCAGGCAGCGGGCAGCCTGGGCCTGGCATTCAGGCCCCGGAACAGGGCCTGGGCCCCACTGTGGGCCGAGCGAGGGCCTGTGGCTCTGCTGGCCGTGCCTCCACTCTGCCCATTCTGGGCATCCACGCCGCACACCAGCCCCCTCCTCCTTCCCTCCCGCCTGGGACTGAGCCTGCGTGAGGGGAGCGGCCCTCATAGTGTCCCATGGCTGCCACTTGGGGGGAGTGTGGGGTGGGGGGCAGAGGGAAGGAACCATGGGGGCTTCACCAGGGAGTGACTCTGGGCTGGAAGCCTTGCTGTGACCTTGAATGGCCTGGCTCCTGCCCTGCATTTCTTCCTCCCGCCTGTGCTCAGGGGGCGGCGGCCAGGTGAATGCAGGGCAACCAGTGACATTTCATTTCAGATAAACAATGAATAATTCCCTAGTTCCAGTGTGTCCCAAATATTGCATGGAAAGGTTCTATTGTGTGGTACACAGTGGAACAATGAAAAATTATTGAATTATGAATTATTGAATATTGAATTATGAAAACTGAAAAATGACTCACTGCTCATCATAATTCATATGTCACTGGGCATCCTGTGTCTTTATTTGCTAAATCTGGCACTTCTTAAAGAATCTCCCTGCCATGCTGGGGTCCTTGGCAGGGCCTTAGAGGGCTCTCAGAGACCCGGCCATCCTGGGCGGGGCCCCACCCAGCAGCTGTCACTGGGGCCTGCAGGGCCGGCTCTGTGGTGACCCAGGGTGTAGGGGGGTGAGGCCCGGTCCATCTGTGGACCCCGTGGATGCACCGCCCAGTCCTCTCTTGGCCACAGTTTGACACGGAGATTAATCAGAGTGCGCTCCTATTCTTGTGGGATGAACGACCCTGCTCTTCAGCCTCCCTCTCTGCTCTGTTGCCCCCCTTGGCCTCTGGTGCAGTGGGAGCCTCACTAGAGAAGGCCTTCCCAGCCCCTCGCTATGGTACGGGCTACAAGATCTGTGGGGCCCAGGGCAACAGGAAAACGGGGGCCCCATGTTCTTAAATTATTAAGAATTTCAAGACAGGGACAGCAGGTGATGACACAGGTCCAAGTTCCAACCCTGAGCAACTGCAGGGGTGCATGCCTGGGAAGCTGGCCCTGGGGGGAAGGGAGGGTGGGGAGAGGCGGGTGTTAGAGAGGTGAGCAGGGGGCCCAGGCCTGTGCCTGTGGGGGCCACACTGGGGAGGACTGTATCTCCCAGGTTTTCAAGAGAAGGTAGAATTTGTTTATCAATGAAAGCTTTGTTAAATAGTGGCAATAGGTTTTTATTTAGGAAAATTCCTGTGAAGGCAAAATTAAGCACCCTCTCTCCAGGGTGGCACTTGGTGTGATTATCAGTTCCACCCTGACCTGTGTGGTCACTAGTTTTATCTGTGCCCGCCCCCCCACCCCGGCTGGCCTGGGACTCCACCAGGGCCACACTGTGTGTTTGCTGGTGCACCCCGAGTCCCTGGCACCACATCTGGCACATGGCGGGTACTCAGTAACAGTCAGAGTCTCTGAGACTTCATTTGGTTCTGGGAACACACTGAGGGAGCTCGCTGGACCTGCACTCCCACCTAATTTCATGAGCATCGTCCCTGTCATTAAATGTGGTCACATGAGTAAAGCCTGAGACGCTCTTTGTGTGTGTGATCATTCGATAAACGTGAGCTGTCTGGTGGCGAGGGCCCGGGGTGCGCTGTGGGGAGTGGTGTTGGCGAGGAGGCTTTGACAGAGCGCCCCTGTCTGTCTCCCCAGGACGCCAAGTTCGTGGAGGAGCGGAGGAAGCAGCTGCAGAGCTACCTGCGCAGTGTCATGAACAAAGTCATCCAGGCCGTCCCCGAGTTTGCCACCAGCCCCAAGAAGGAGACCCTGGTTCAGCTGATGCCCTTCTTCGTGTGAGTACCATCTGTGGGACGCGCTCCGCCTACATATCCTTCCTCCTTTTCCATGGCCAGGCAGCCAGCGGCGTGTGTCCTAGACACCCTGGGCCCAGGTGTGGCAGGAGCCGTGGGAGGCGCTGACAGGGAAACTCGGGCCATGCGCTTTGGCGTTCCTGAAGGGCTCGGGAAAGTTTGCAAAGGAGAAATGTAGATTTGAGGTCTGCAAGTGAATGCGGGGCTGTGTGGTTTTATACATTCATACACTGCGATCACAAGGGGGACTCATGTTCCCTGCAGCCCACAGGTGGTCAGAGCGACAGTCTCAGCTTGGGTAGTGAACCCAAGGACAGTTCTCAGGCTCCCACTGGTACTGACTGACATGATTTCCATGTTAATATTGCTTATGTATGGACAGACTTAAAATTAGCATAAATTCCTTAGTCATACACCTCCTTATAAGAGTAAGAAGTTACGTGTTAAGCACTTACAGGAGGTTACGACTCACAGCTGTCCGTGCAGTGCTGCTGTGTTTTCTGAGACCAGGCTTTGCTCACAGAGGCGTGTGGCAGGTCCTGTGTTTGCGTGTGCCACGCCGGTGTCTGTCCACTGACCTCTTCCTCCCCGTGGTTCTCGGGTCATGGTGCCTGGAAACACCTGCTTGTGCGGCACCTTGAAGCAGGTGGCCGTCACGGTGCATCACCTGGTCGCTGGCGAGTCCACGTTGTCCTGGCAAGTCTCCCCCAGCCTGAGACATTCACCTCCTTGGCTGTGGAGCCCTGGGATGATGAAGCAGCCCTTGGTTTTCACAGAGTCTTCAGGTGGTGAATCTAGTTTCGTTATTTCTAACATGTTGTCATCATAATGGAAGCCCAAGATGGAAGCAATAGCAAGGCTGTGGCTCCCCGGAACGGGATTGGGACTTGTCATTGAGAAGCACTGGTTGGAGTTTGTGATCTGCTGGGATAAACGAGTTTCCTTTCTTCTACGCTCTCTCCAGGGTGTACTGAGGCTGGGGGTGATCCATTCTAACAGTGCAGCCGTCGCCTAACAGGGGACCTGTTTCTGCTTTGGGGGCGCACTTCCCAACATTTCCAAGGCAAATTCCCAGCACTGCCCCTCTTCCCTGCGTGGGGCCTTTGAAATTGTAGCCATGCTGGTTGCTGATGTTTTCCTAATGTTCTGAGGCTTCTGTGCGGGGGTGTGCTGGTGTCAGGCTACTGCCTTCCGAGTAGATAGACGGGTGCCTGGGATGCCAGGCCGGAGCTCCCTGCTTGGAAAGTGCCATGCGCATTCACCTAGGAGTCCCGCCCACAGAAAGGCAGCCCGGCCCATGGTGTGGGCAGAAATTAACCTCTCCCGAGTCCTGTGCGCTTGGCTAAGTTCCCTGGTGAACATCGAGTTAGAGCGTTGGTCCTTAGGCTCTGATGCTAAGAAAGGAGAAAACACTGCCCCGCACAGGCGAGCGGGTGGCCTTCCTGCTGGCACTGCTGGTGTCTCTGGTCGTGCCAGGCGTTAGCAAACATTGGCCCCTGGAGTTGTGAAAATTACTTGCTAATGAGAGCGTCCCGGTGAGTGGCGCAGCCTCAGCCCGCTGGTGCCATTAATCAGAGGCGGGAGAGGAACCTTGTGTGCCTGATTAGCACAGGGAATACAGGTTCTGTTTCACGGCCTTTAAAAATACAAAGGGTTCAGTCGGGGATGGTGGCAAATGACACAATATTGACATGAGATTTCTGGCTGAACGTTGGTCTGGGCTGGCACCCAGGTAATTAAACAGCTTTCCCTGGTGGCTTTCCTTGTAGATCCAGGTCAAGCAGCCCTCTCCACCTTCGTCTTTCTGAGGAGGGGTTACAGGTGGGATGTGCGGACTGTTGCACGCGGGGGACGGGAGAGGAGCGGGTGAACTGCCCTGTGACCATTTCCGGTATGTGCTCCCACGAGCACCAGTGACACTGTTCCAGCTCCGACCTCACCCTAAGAGAGCTCCAGTTTTATAAACACTCTCGTGGCTGAGGAAATAAACCCGGAAAAGCATTTTTTAAAAAATAAATCTTGACAGATTTCCTCAGCTCTTTCAAAGGGTGACTCGGGACCCTAAAGATCCGCTGTAGCTACTGAACATGCATGGTCGTGTTTACGGGGCATGTGTCGCTCCCTCCGCGTCTGGTGGGCATGTGCTGTGGGCACTGGCTGAACATTGACCTGCCTGGTCTCCCTGAGGGCCGACCGCGTGGGCACCGTGCCTCCATTTTGTTAGGCAGGACCTTACAACATTGTCAATCAGAGGACAGCTTCATAAGTTTCCAGCTAGGACTGATGAGGAGAGTGAGGCTGAGGGGTTACCTGGCTGGCCCCAGGGTCACTACCAGCACATGGCAGCCTGGGCTGTTTGGTGCCAGGGCCCATGTTTTGGGGTTTGGGTGACAAGCCCACAACCTGTGGATTGAGCCTGACCCTAGGACCTGCTTTATTTGACCAGTCCAGTGAGGTTTTGTTATTTGGTTTTCTTAATTGAAATATTGCCAACAGCAAACAATTAGGTGTCAGATTTTTTTAAAATCAGATATCAAGCTCCTCTTGAAATGAGAATTGCTCGCTCTTTGTTATGGAATGGGTGTTTGTGCAAACCCCGCCCCCCATTCATATGTTGCAGTCCTGCCCTCCCTGGGGTGGCATTTGGGGTCTTTTACAAAGGCTGGGCCTGCCGACATAGTGCCCTATGAGAGGAGGAGGAGACGGAGTGCCTCTGCCACGTGAGGGCACAGTGCGCAGGCAGCTGCCTGCAAGCAGGGAAGGCTGCCCCTTCTCCTGGAACCGGCTCCGCAGCGCCCGGACCTTGGACGGCAGCCTCCAGAGCTGGGAGGAGTAATGCCAGGTGCTTACGCCACAATTACCGTGTGGTGCGTTGTTCTGGCAGCCGGGATGGCAGATACGCACGGCCATTCCCACTCAGCCCCGCAGGCAACAGCCCCGGTGACAGTGCTGCCGTGTCCTCTCGGAGCCCACCCCACCATTGTCTCTTGGTCTTGGAGTGGAGCCTTCCTTGCTGTTCTTGTATTCAAGCGGCATCTCTCAGGCACATTGCCTGCAGCCCTCCTCTCACCCACTGCGCAGGCGGCCTCTCCCACAGGGTTTGGTGTGAGGCCCCGGCCGTGCATGTTCCCCATGACGCACTTGGCTCACCCTTGTGCTCCCTTGCATGCTCTGTGAGTTAGTCCACTGCTACCTGCAGGAAAGTTGGTCTCTGTCCAGTTTGGGGCGAGAGAGGGAAGATGGGCAGGGGATAAAAGCCTGTGGTAGATTTGCTCGTGGTTTTCCTGTGGTGGTGTGTGGGTTGTTTTGTGTTTTGGTTTTATTTTTTCATAAATATTCCTTAAAACTTTCAGGCTGTGCAACCTGGAGTCCAATCTTAGATGGACCTGCTTCCGCACACACCTTCCGGCTCATTTTTTTTTCTGTTCACTGTGTCAATATTTCCTCTGCTCTGCAAGGGGCGCCAGGACTTCCCCGTATTGTGCCATCTGCACAGATCTGATTGTTGAAGAATCAGCAGGTTGAATTTTTTTCTCCAAGTCTCCCTGCCTCCCGTTGCCTTCTTGCTCACACCAGCCGCAGTCTGCATTGGGAAGTAGGGCAGTAGGAAGCGGCTCTTTCTTTTCCATTTTGAACTCTGTGCATCAGTCTGGCCCAGGTGGGGACCAGCATCCACCCACCACAATGGGGAGTGGATGAATGGCAGGCCCCCAACACCTTCTTCTTTGGGGAGCCCCAGCTTCTTTGCGTTGCCCTGGCATTCCAGAGAAAGGTGTCCACGTGGCAGATGGGAACAGACACTGAGGGAGATGTCAGGTGTGCTGAAAGCACCGCAGTGAAGGGAGGCTTGGATTCCAAGAACTCGTTCTGCAGACTGGCCTGGAGATCAGTGAGGGCTGGAATGATTTGCCGTGCTGTCATTTAGCGTGTTAATAAAACGGGCTTTCTCCGCAGAGGGACTTTTGCCTGGGAAAAGCACATGTTCTGCCATTCCTTGAGAGGAGAGAGTGTTACGGGGGTGGAGGGAGAGTAATGTAGGTCACTGCACAGATCCCCAGCTGGCCTGGCAGAGAACGTGTGGCGGGTGTCTTCCCCACGCCCTGCCCCCTGCTGCCACAGCCACTCTCGCCATGGAGAAATGTGTGTTCTGCTGAAATAGGAGCTGCCGTGTTCTCCCAGGAAGCGAGGGTTTAGCTCGGGGCGAGATGGCCCGGCCTGTGCACCACCAGAGGTCACCGGACCTAAGTCCGTTCCTTTGGCTTTACAAGTTCCTTCCGAGGAACCCTGCCCTCACTTTGCTTTGTGGACCAGCCCCGCCTTCCAGGTGTAAGTCTTCAGCATCACCCAGGCCAGGAGGATGGCAGATCCCTTCATGGGTCTCATAACCGGCAGGCTGCCGAAGTGTGGACAGCGTTTTAAAGTAAAATATAAAAAATATGTAAACACCAATAAAATGAAATAGAAAATAATTGTGTTATTCTGTATGGGGATGGATGTTAACTAGTGCATTGTGATCATTTTGCGATATACACAGATATTGAGTCATGTTATACACCTGAAGCTAATATAATGTTTTATGTCAATTATACCTCAATTAAAAAGGGGGGGGGGTTTCTGGTAGGTAAATTATGGGTTGTTTTCTTGCTTGTTTTTATTTTTTAAATTTTCTCATATTATGCATTACTTTTTAATTAAGAAAAGATGAGTTATTTTTACCAAAAGAGGGAGAGAAACAGTATATGTCTCATATACCTTGAAGTGGTAACGGTTACTTGGTATTGTATGGAATTGAAGGGCATATATATATATATATATGACTTTCGATGAGGTAATATCC